ACCTAGAAAGAGGAAAGACCATCAATGCTGTCTATTACTGTATACTTTTGGAAAAACTGAAGAAAGAAATCGAAGAGGCCACACTTGAAGAAGAAGGTTCTGTTTCACCACGATAATGCCAGAATCACTGAACAAAAAATAAACGAACTTAGCTTCCAATTAGTTCCACATTCACCATACTCACCTGATTTGGCCCCCAGTGACTTCCACCTTTTTCCAAATTTAAAATAATTCTTGGTTGGAAAGAGATTCCACTCAAATGACAAAGTCATCTCTGAAGTAAACGAGTATTTTGCACACCTTCACAAATCGACCTATTGTAATGGCATAAAAAAGCTAGAACATCGCTGGAATAAGTGCATTGCTAACAGAGGAGACTACATTGAAAAATAAAAAAAGTTTTAACATTATTTTGTTTGTTGTTCTATTTGAGGCCGCAAACTTTCCGAACAGCCCTCATAGGTAATATTTATATAGTTTTTGTTAAAATGTTTGTGTTTGAGTGATTGTAATTCAATTATAGTTGTAACTTGTAATTTGTAAAAATTGTAACTGATTTAACAAAGATAAAATTCTCCTATTCCCCCTTGTAACAAGTTAAATCTTAAATACAATAAATTTATTATTATTATATTATTATTAATAGTAGCAAAATATATAACCAAATTTATTATGGCAAACATTTAGTTTATCATCATCCTTGCACTTTAAATATAGAAATTATAGCAATTTCTCAATGCCTAGTTGCTTTCCACCCACTCTATAAATTAAGATGTTATAATGTACAAATAGTTGTATATCAATAAATAAATATGTAATGTATATAAAGTATTTATATTGTTATATCTTTTGTAAACAATACAATTTTCATCTTTTCAAAACTCATTTAATAAAACAATCATTCTCAACTAATAACTTATTGGGTGCAACAATTATCCTATTACAAGAAGTTCAAAATCCGATGTTAGAGAAATTTTCCCAAATACAGTAATTTAAATATGATTTAAAGTACTAATAAAAAAGTATGACTAAAAAATGAACAGTAAATAAATTCTTTCATAAATTATAATTTAATTCTTTATCTAATATTCTTTAACATAATTAATATTCTTCTTAAATAAAAATTTAAGAAGTTAAAATACTTCATGTTCCCTAAAATAATCTCTTAAATATAATTCTGAAGTATTTCTTTTATTTAAAAAAAAGATTCAAAGAATACAGTCTAGAAATTATAATCCACAAATTTTCTTACCGAATTGTTTTTATTCGTTTCATCTCGTCCATCAAGTTTCTTCAAAGCTAATTCAGCAGCATGCTTTTTTGCATCTTTTTTTGTTTTATCCCAGGCTTCAGCCAAAACAGTATTTCCGACAAGTGCCACTGCTTTAAATCTGAAAAATTAAGATAAAATTTATTTCTAGAATTAAAATAAATTTTTATTAATAGTAGTGCTTTATCATTTTAGGTATCACTGATGATTTATCATTTTAGGTATCAGCTATTTTGCATACTTTTTACAAATATTTAAATAAACTTATAATTATTATATGCATTCATAATTTAATTTTATGCTTTATTACATTAATAGATCTACACCTGGTAATTAAATATTACTAGATATACAAGTTATCCAAAATTCAATTAATTATATTTCTACTTTCAGGCTGTTATATATAACAGAGGAACAGTATGGTGAGCTGAAAAATGACCCCCACAAGATTTTTGCACTTTTGGACTTGGGGCCTTCAAACATCAAGAAGTGTAAAAAACATTTGAGGATTTTTTTGTATGTATAGATATGTTAGTGGGTGGGCGAAAGGCACAATTTTGTTCACCTTCTTTGAAGCTTAATAACGCCTGTGCTTTTTGTCAAATAATGCTGAAATTCTGTAGAAGGTTTGTGTATTAGGAAATTAATGCTATTAAAATTTTGGTGATTAAGAGTAAAGAGGGTGGGGAGATAAAGGGAGTCGTGTATCTCTAGTAGGGTCAGACTTAATGACGATTTTACTCGTTATTAGCATTTCCAATTTTTTATAAAATCCATCCCTACCCTCAAAATTAAGCTTTTTGCCATTTTGTAATAGTTAAAAATATGAAATGTTTTTTAATAAAATATGACAACAAATTAGCACCACCAAATATTGCCAGGAAAGCTAAGCAACTCATTGCTGGATTTTTTTGTAAGGATAGTTAAAATCAGTTTAAAAATATGTAATTTTACAACCTTCAAAAATGAAGGGTACTTCTAAGAAAATAATCACACTGAGCTTCTCATCAGTTTTTTTTTAATCATCAAAGAGATTTACTTATACTATCTTTATATGCATTTCAAACTGTATATTCTGATGGTTCCTTTCAGTAGGTGATACAGAAGCACAAAGTTAGTAACACAATTTGAACAGTAACATTCCAGAGTATCGAGATACTTTGATATTAAAATCAGTTTGAAACAACTGAATATAGTTTATTCACAATTCAGTCACACTCAATGAAACAACTGAATTTAACAACAATATATGTGATAATTTGTTGATGGTCAACTCAGTAACAAAAATTTTGAAAATTACATATAGAATATTTTAATCTGATACCATGACAGCAGATATTCTGGATTATAAAAATTTTTGGACTTAGTTGTTCAGGCATTAGTAGCTTTGTTCTTTTTATTCAATGATAATATTAATTATACTTATAAAACAAATTTTATTAATTTATGAAATTATTTTTTCCAAGGATGACAAATAATAACAACTATAGTATTGTATTAAAAATTTACAAACTAATATTTTATGTAATTGTTGAAAATTCCACACAACATACAGGATATAAACTGGAAAAAGTAACAAACATCCATCTTCTCTGATATAAATTCACCATTCTTACTTAAATATAAATGTATACTTCAGAACATTGAAAAACATGGTAGATGTAAATTTTTAGATTTCTCAGAATTGTAAGTTTCATAAACATATTCAAACAGTGAAAGTATAATAAATAAATTTTTGTTTTATATGAATGACTTCTTCCAATTAAATTTTGAATATTAAAAATATAAACGTGCAAAATTAAAATTTGAAATGATGATAAATTAAAGATATCTTCTTACTCACTTACTGGAAGTACTGACAAACACCAAAAAACCTTTTAAAATCCAGTAACCCAAATAAAATGTTTAATGAAATCAAACAAACACTTTCGACCTTAACCAAGATCTATTTCAGGTTTATAAACCAATGGAATTCCAAAATTGGAATGTGTAGAACTGAAAGTTTTAAAATATATTTTTAAACAATTTGGAATACATAACTCTTACAAAAATTATAAGTGCATGAATTCAAAATATACATAAGACAACATATATGCACAAATTATTTTCGGAACAAGCCTAAAAACAAATAATAAAAGTCAATTTGTGTCAGCACTGCCAGGTTTTTCATACAAGTATTTCCAGGCATATGATACAGTACTACTGTCCTTTAAATTGTTGCACTTACCATCAGGCCAGCCTTGTATATTTCTAAAGCTTCCAGAGTTCTAATATGATTGATTTAGAAGAGGCCTGGCCAACACGTGTCCTGTCATGTTAAATTGTGTGGCCTACTAAGCGATTTTATATATCTATTAAAACTTTTGTTTCTCGTTGTGTATACTAAAAAAATTAAATAAAATGAAAATTTGCACATGTCATTGTTATAATGTGCAAATGTGACTACAAACACCAGTTCTATATTTGGTACTTGTGAAACTTTGTCCCAGATGTTGGTGCCGGCCTGGCAAAAAACATCTCAACTAGTACCTGTATCCCCTCAAAACAAATTGACCCGACCGATTAGCCTACATTAAACAGACATGTGTTATCAACTCAGTCCATTTCATTATTTTAATGTTGTTAAGATTATTGCAAAGTTTAACCCATAGGATGAATTCAAAGAAAAGAAAAGTTGTTGATAAAAACAGGATATTCAATGATCGCTGGGAAAAAGACTATTTTTTCACAATTCAGAACTCAAAATTAACGTGTTTAATTTGCAGAGAGACGATCACTGTATTTATGAAATATAATGTTAAAAGGCATCATGAGACAAAACACATTGAATATGTAAATTATAGTAAAGAAATAAAATGTTTTAAGTTAACCACACTTAAATCACATCTGAAAGCCCAAGAAATAACATTTAGTTCATTTTTACAACAACCATCTACCATTGTCAAAGTAAGCTACTGCGGGTAGCCTCTGAGGTAGGACGAAGTCATATCTCCTTTTGATCAGCAACAATTGGTGAAAACTGCCCACTGCTCAGTGGATGGTATGTCTATGCTTTTCTATCCCGAAAAGTCAGGATTCTTTTGTCAGGTCGAGTGGAGGAGATGAGAGAGGTTGTCGGTAAGACATATGAATTAAAAACACTATTTAACAACAAAACAAGAATTTATTGGACATAACTTAGATAATCTATCTACATTGAAATTATCTCAAGTGTACACGCGGAAGTGGAGGGAAACGCGCCGAGAGAGAGTTTACAATATTTGCTGTCATACCTCTAGGTTGGTGATTACTGATGGACGTGCCCGAGGTGGACGTCTGTTTCTTTGGACAGCATTCACGGAAGGTGATGACAGCCCCCTCTTCTGTCGTCACCCCTCTTTTATATCGCACGTGACGTTATCGGTGTTTGCCAATTGCTGATTTTTTTATAAGTTCCCCGTGATTCATTTTCGTGTTCCTGAGAGATAGGAAATGGCTCCAGGGAAAGGAAATGGGAACACCCTCCTTCAAAAAATTTCAAAAAAGGGAAAAATGGAGCATTTCTTTGTTTAAATAAATGTTCTGAAATTCTAAATTTGTTGTTTAATTTTATTTTATTTGGTCTGACCCTCAACACTATTCTCTATTGCCATGTTGATTGCAAAGAAAATAAAACCATTTTCTGATGGTAAACTGATTAAAGATTTATGGAAGCAGTCGTAAAAGATGTTTTGCCCGATAAAAGCAAGTTATTTCAAGTATCAGTCTTTTACATCAAACTATATCTTGTTGCATTGATGACATTTCAGCTGAAATAGTAATAACTTTGCGGGATAAAATTAACCAATTCAAAGTATATTCTTTGACATTTGATGAAAATACAGATATCTCAGACACATCTCAATTTGTAATTTTTATTCACAATGTGAATGATTCATTTGAGGTAACAGAAGAAATGTTAAATCTTTTACATTTAAAAGACAAAACTAGAGGAGATAATGCTTTCTAAGCAATCGATAAATGTTTAGTCAAAAATGGCTTAAATTTTGAGGCTCTTTCCAGATTAGCAACAGATGGAGCACCTGCTTTGATAGGTAAAAACAAGGAAGCTGTAAAATTACTTTTGGATAAGCTAGATCACAGGGGCATTAAAACAAATGATATATTTATCACTCACTGTTTGATACACCAACAAAATTTATGTGCTCGTGTATTATCCATGAATTGCGTTATGAATGTAGTTATAAAGATAGTAAATTACATTCATTCACATGCTCTTCAGCATCAGCAATTCAAAGAATTCCTTAGCAAATTATCTTCTGAATATAGTGATATCATATATTTTACCAATGTTAGATGGCTAAGCCGTGGAAAATGTTTAAAACGTTTTTTTAATTTACAGAAGGAAATAGATATGTTTATGAACAAAAAACAAGAATTGTGAATGTGTCTCTTTAATCCGATCAATTCCGTTCGGTAGACTATCATATACAGCTTTCAGGTTAGGTACTTCTTTTATTGGTTTGTCATATGCATTTCGGACTTATTTGTATTTTAAGTCCCTCGTCAGTTCAAAAGTACAAACTATTTAAAAAATTTATATACACTTACTAAAAATTTTTTTTTTTTTTATGTACAATCAGTGGGGTGACAATTTCTCGCGTGTAGATTATATTTACTGACATAAGACTATTAAAAATATTGTTACACTTATACGTTACCTCAGGTTCTGTTTTTTTTTAAAACACCCCGGTGTATAACTGGTAACGTTGGAAAGAGTTTAAACAATACAGCCATTTAAAAACACTTCAATTTTTAATTGTGAAAACACAATTGTGAAATTGTGAATTTGTGAATTTTGTTGAATTTTGAAACAAAATTGTGAATTTTTAATTTAAAAACACTTCAATTTTTAATTGTGAAGTGTTTTTAAATGGCTGTATTGTTTAAACTCTTTCCAACGTTACCAGTTATACACCGGGGTGTTTTAAAAAAACAGAACCTGAGGTAACGTATAAGTGTAACAATATTTTTAATAGTTTTATGTCAGTAAATATAATCTACACGCGAGAAATTATCACCCCACTGATTGTATATAAAAAATAAAAAAAAAAAAATTTTTAGTAAGTGTATATAAATTTT